GGGGGTTTAATATGAAGGAAAATATATCTCAGGACACCGAATAGTTTAAGTGAAAACTGACAAAAATGTGATAGTTTAAAGGGGTTTTAGGATATTAACTCTTTATTTACTACTACAAAAAATCAAGAATGCCATATTCGCTAAAAGTTACAATTAATTTTTAAAACATCAATATTTTCTTGTGCTTGTTATTTGACCTTTTAATTAATTAAATTAAATTATATTCTTGTAAGGAGACATTAGGAGTGCAGTGATCCTTTCCAAGTCTCCAAGTCTTTTTTTTTTCCCTTAAAATTTTCAAGTTTTTCTTTCAAGTTTCTGACACATTAGAAAGTGCAATAATATATTAGTTAGTAAAATATCACATTGTTATAGACTTAGAGTCACGTTTAGGTTGGCATGTAGGCCGGGCCCGGTCTTAAGTGTACAGTATATATATATATATATATATATATAAAAGCTATATTCGGTATTAAATATTGAATATTAAAATTTAGGATTTTAAATCAATTATAGGGTAAGCACATAATAGTAATCATTTTTGTCAATTCTTCCCGATCTTTTTTTGGATCATAGTATAAGAGAGATTGACAGAGATTGATGATTTTGTGAGAAAAATAAAAGAATGATGGGGTATTTATAGTTGAAAATAGAAAAAAAGTGTATTTAAAAAAAAATTGGGGTTAAAACAAAGTTGGGGGTTAAATGACTATTTTGTAAATAGCCAACGGCTAGATTTTAAATGCCCAAATGAGCAGATTTTTTTAAAAAATTATGGCCGTTGGAACTGTCTAGGCCCGCTAGGACCGGTCCGGTCCCGATCCCAAACAGTCCGATCTCGCGGGCCTCAAGCTAAGTACCGGCCCACTTGCATACCATTTTCAAGTCCTTTGAAATAATAAAAAAACTTCATTACGTTTTCGTTTAGTTACATAAGATTTGACTAAACCCTTTTTTCCTAAATTTCTAGTTTCCATAGAACTTTTTCCAAGTTTTGAGCGGGCGATAAAGTCATACGAAGTGTTACCCACATTTGTCCAACAGTTGTCACATTCTCCCCCATTAAACCTCTATTTGAAGCTAACAAAGAAGATGCACAGAATGAAAGCACAGAATCAGCCAAGAGAATGTCAATATAGCCTCTTAAACTGCTCGGGAGCAGGCTGACTATCAAATTCCATCATCAGACGCAAGTAGCAGGATATGAGTAGTTTTTTATATCACTAATGAAAGAGTTTTTTGGGGAATAACCGAGAAATCCGATGTTTCCAACTTCAAAGCTCGTGATAATGAGCCCATCCATCTCTTCTTCTCCACTTAAATATCAAACTTACTTCACCAGCCAAGATTCATCCCGCGCCATACAGCCATACTACCTTTGCCGTTGAATCGAAGTAAAGATCTTATAATGTCAAAGCGAACATATAATACTACAGATTACAGATTAGGGGTGTACATGGACCGGGTTGGTTCGATTTTTATCAAAATCAAACCAAATCAACTATATCGATTTGGATTGGTTCAGTTTTGTCGGGTTTTTCGGGTTTTTGGGTTTTTTATTGCTTAAATATTATTTTAATTTTACTTTGTTAAATATTTGATAAGTAAATATATATTTAGTAAAAATATAAAAAATTAACAAACATAATATCGATTAAAATATTCTTATGGGAGAATTCTATTAGTAACACATAATAGTTATTTTTTTAGTCGTCTAACAATAATTTTTCATTGATGTACACTTTCAGGTTAAACCGAATTTAGTAATTAAACATAAAAATTAATATGATACATAAATATTAATAATCACTTCACATTTGAAAAAGATATAAGAATTTAATAGATCTTAACATATGATATGAATATGGATGAATAAAGAAATAGACGCATTCCAGTAACACTTATAAGAAAGTGACCATACAACCTATTATTTAAGGTCAATAAATATGGAGCACTTCATATTCTATTAAAATTTATATTTCGCAAGAAAATTCCAAATATTTTTAGACATTTTTTAAAGAAAATTTTATATAAAATCTTAAAAGTATATATAAAAATTATATATTTATATGTCGGGTTGGTTCTGATTTTTTTACTCAATACCAAACCAAATCAAATCAAACCAAGTCGGGTTTTTTAATCGGTTTGGTTTGACTTTTCAGTTTGGTGCAGTTATTCGGTTCGGTTTGTACACCCCTAATAGAGATGCACAAAAATTTTATATGATAGTTTTCTAGGATACATGTATGTGCGATCAAAAGAAAAAAAGGGGAAAGGGCCAAATATATCCCTCTACTTTCATATGTTGTCTATATTTAACCTCAGTTATACTATCGGGCCAAATGTACCCCTACCGTTATACTCTCGGGCCAAATTTACCCTTACAATCAACAAACTTTTAAAAATACCCCTTGATCTGTTAAGTCATCTAAAATCTCCCAAATTCCTTTTATTTAAATTACTGGTTGTTCTTCTTGGTCCACTATTTTTGAAATAATTAGCATTTACCTGCTTTCTGAACTAGAGAAAAAAATAAGAGAAAAAAATTTAAATAATACAACCGAATAAACAAAGTATAGTAAATTGAAAAATCTAAAGTAGGTAGCTTTTCTAAATTCTAAAAGTATTTACAACATCCCAATTTTAATGAATTCGTTACACAAAATGTATGGAGACTTTGCAAGTATTAGTGATTGAAGTTGAAGTTCCTTGGAGACTTCATATTGTCTAATTCAACTTTGGTTTAATTAAATGCCTACACATTTTGCACTCTTAAGTTAGTCGATCGAACTCTATACTAACCAGACAATGACAAAATATATTTGAATATACATGTACATACATGATGATCGGCTGCATATAATACACAATAAATAGACTCACTAAATTCTACGATGTGTATATGATTGAAAAATAAATAAAATTTTAAACCAATTTTATTTATTACAAAAAGAGAAACGGGTGCATTGGTAATAAAAAAAAATTATAAATAATTTGTATAGCCTAGTAACTTTAGCATTCACATTAATAGTAATTTTTGAAATTAAAATAGTGGACCAAGAAGAACAACAAGTGATTTAAATAAAAAAAATTTGGAAAATTTTGGATTACTTAACATATTAAGGGGTATTTTTAAAAGTTTGCTGATTGTTGGAGTAATTTTGGCCTAATAGTATAACGGTAGGGGTAAATTTAGCCCGATAGTATACTGGAGGTTAAATGCAAATTGCAGACAATATATGAAAATAGAAGGGGTATATTTGGCGCTTTTCCCAAAAAAAAAAAAAATGGCTGAAACCACTTCTACATAATTACCAAATACCAAACATGCTTTTTTTATAAGCAACAAAATTTGTACTGGAATTAAGAAATATAAACAAACTTTTGTGCTAATTAAAGTATTGAAACAAATTTTAGTCCCATTTGTTTCTATCCCATCTTTGGCCACAGAACAATGTCGGCCATTTGCAAGTTCCACCCAAACCAAAAGAAAACTATTACAAATTTTAACAGTGTGGATCAGTGATAGAGCATCAACAATTGAATATCTGGAACCTGATAGCAAATGGTTGCAGGACAATATGTTTCCCAAGTTAGAACTTTAGCTTTGAGGGAATGAAACATTCTTCTGAAGAATGAGGACAGGATATTAAAGGAATGCCTAGCATTAAGTGCTTAAAAACAAATTTTTTAAGTTCTAATTTCTAAGGTGGTTCACTGGTACATTTTAGTATTTTCTACTACAATTAAGAAGCAGTGATATTATTGCAAGATCAGGGTCCAGCTTTCTCCTCTCGTGAAGACAGTAACATTCCAAAATAACTCTGCAGAAAAATCTCTTGCAGAATATGAAACACTAGTTAAATTAATATGGAGCAAATGAAAACATTAATAGAAGAATATGATCATGGGTTTGATTGATGTTTTTGAAGGCCCTAAACAATCAAAGAGGGGTGAAGCCAGGATTTGAATTTTATGGATTCTAAATTCTAGGATTACGACATCAGATTTTAGTAACTAGCTAGGTTCTGAACTTAATTATTGTATATAATTTAGTGGTTCTTTTAACACATATACAAGGGTAAAACCATCAGAGAAAATTCAGGGAAGAGAACCTTAGCCCTGTACTATAGAACAATTGATGAGTTCATGGAAGGCAAAGAAGATTGCTTGACAAACCATATCTGTACTATGTGTAACTCTGAAATTAAAACTTAACCTGCAAACACCAGAGAATAGGAAACACTGTTCCCGCTGATAGACAAGAAATGCGAATTCCCAAGAAAATGTGAGAATTCATCTTCAAATACCAATTAGTCAAGCATTTAAAGCCCATTGCGTGTTGGTACATATCATTGTGATATCAAGAAACATATCAACAAAATAGCTTTTATTATGCATAAAGTCCGGTATATTCAAATTACCCAACATAAAATGGTGCGTTAAATCAAACAACATGAATTGCTGAGGAATGGATACCTTGTCTTTTCAGTACGTATAAATTGACGGGAAAACTCCATATTTGAGGGAATTGGGATCTTGAGAATCCGAAAGCTCTTCTACATGTTATGCATTTAAAACAGTGAAACAGTAATTTTCAGACATTTCCTACAAAAGATGTTGTCCCTTTCCATTGGACTGACAAAATGCATACCCGAACATGGAAATTTTCAACTTGACAGTACAAATTCCAAAAATCAAAATGATCTCAACCTTTCTTTACTTGATACTGGTGCTGTGAGTTCAACACGATTCCCATCTTTCTTATTTTGAACTGATAGCTCCTCAGGTCCTTAACTTAGAATTTTGGAAGTTGTTTCTATCTAAACAGTGAATCTTCAGGCGGTCAAAATGAAATTAGAAAGTAGGAGAACCACAACATGCACGATTTTCTCCAACTCTTGCATCCATGATTTAACCGCTTTACGTGAAGGCTTCTTTTTCGCTAGAATTAAAAGAGAAGAAAATCAATGAACAAAACAACCGAAAGAGACATTAGCTGGCACTAGAAGATTATTAACCGTGATACTCTTCAAAATAACTATCGCGGATCCGGAATTTAAATTTAATGGTTTCAACCTTTAGGTTATTACTGTTGAACACATTACACACTTGAATTTATGGCTTCATACTCTAATAAATTTTTAAACATTAGTGATTTTTCAATATTGGGTTCAGTTGAACCCCTTGATCATGCTCTCCATCCGCCACTGCTGTGCACCCATTTAGAATCATATAGTTCATCAGATCACTTAGTCAAGAAACAAAAGCAGAAAGACTACACGTGTCACATTGCCTCTAAGAAGTCTGTTGCATTCTTGCAGAGTACTGTAAGCGGTAAACTAAAATAATCAACACAGGTTCTCTACTAAGTAACGCAGCCCGGTGCACTAAGCTCCCGCTATGCGCGGGGTCAACAGTATCAACTACTCTAAATGATTACTCTTTTGGATAGTAAAGCAACAGAAATGTCAAAGTAAAACCAGCAAAAGAAACGGATTAAGCAGGCTATTTTTACCTCAACAGAAGCATCAAAACTTAGAAGCACCGGGATAGGTGAGCCATGAGTATGAGTAATCGATCCTGCTCTTTCTCGGGCCTTTTGATCTAAAACCTCTAATTTGTGTAGATGGTCTCCAACCTATATCAGGCAATAAGTGATGTAAGGATAAGCTATCTAATTCGAATCCTGAACAACATCTATAAAACTAGACAGGGAAAAAAATGAAGACAATGAGATATTATAGTACTGAGAGAGGAAATGATAGCAGTTTGAAGGGATGGGGCATAGCAGTCCCACTGAGTTGGAGAGCAAAGACAAAAAAAAAAAACTCGAAAAGGAAAATCCTGGCCTATTACTTAGGGAACTGTAGGAGAACTTGTAAGGATAGACTAAGGAAAGAAAGCATTCAATGCTGCTAGGTCTGATGAAACTCAAGAAAGGAACACCGAGGTAGTGACAAACAATTTTTCGACATATCAGAAGTAGTACCTCATGTGTAGTAAAAAATCAGGTTAGAAAATGGATGGATTAGTTAGCAAATAGATATGGACTAATCATTTTCTCGAAATATTCATCATTAATTGAACCAAAAATGACTTCGCCTTGTCTTCTGGTGCTTCAAAAGCTGAATAGGTTAAATATTTTAAGAATATCTAATGAGATTGCACCTCAATGTCTCACTAGGAACTTGACCCCAAAAACGTCCTCACACGAAAGATGCCTGAAACGTTTAATTGGGAAAAATATGGATTCTCTCCTACAACAATCAAGGCAACAGGTACTTCACAACCCCAAAGATT